TTTTTTTTTTGGTGCTGGGAATTGAACTTGGGACCTTGTGCTTGCCAGGCAGCCGCTTGTGCCACTGAGCTGTATCTCTGGCCCCTTCCAGTCTTTTTTTTTCCCCCGGTACCAGGAACCAAACTCATGACCTCATGCTTGCCAGGCAGGCGCTGTGCTGCCGGGCTAAATCCTCAGCCCCGCAGCCTTACTTCTAATTTCTTCCTCTTCTTCTACCTATTCTTTCCCCTAACCCCTTTTACATGTTAACCCCTGAGGATATGTAATGGAAATTTAAAAAAATTTGAAAATCAGCTGTAGTTAGACACCTTATTAGGACAAAATGAGATTATGCAGCCCAACAGGTAGCTCATCTGTTAAGACTCACTCAGCCTTAACTGACTAAACCAGAGATAACCCAACCCAGCTCAGTTTGACTGCACCCAGCTACACAGCCTGTACTTTCTAGTCCCCAAACATACCATTTGCTGACTTATTTCAAGGACTTTCTGGCCAGCAATGAGAGATGACCAACACTATTATTTATTTCAAGGACTTTTTGCCCAGCAACAAGAGATCAAAAATGCTACCCAATAAAACTTCACAAGCTTTTAAGCCTTTGTACTTCCTCTTTGCAAACCTATATAAACTAAGCCCAAAGTGGGCTCTGGGCTGATGCTTTGGGAATGATTCCCCATCAGTCTGCCAGTGTAATAAAGTTGGTTGCCTTCCAACTCCTTATTGCAGAGCATTTTCCATTTGGTTTGGTACCAGTTCCATGACAGGTAAAACTGACATATTAAGGACTTATATACTGTATATAATTTTCTGGTCTTAGATTTTGTTATATAACTACAAATCTAGTTTATATGGTTAAAGGTGGCAAATTAATGGTTAGCTCAGTTTATCATTTTCTAGGCTGTGATTGTTGCTACTGTTATTGTTGATAGTACTACTATAGCCAAAGGTGAGATAATTGTTCTATTTTTTTTCTTTGTTTTTGGTACTGGGAATCAAACTCATGACCTCAGGCTTGCCAGGCAACTGCTTGTGCTGCTAAGCTATATCCCCAGCCCTGACATAATTGTTCTAAACAGCCATTCTTCCTGGTATTCCAAGCCTGAGACTAAGGGTCATAGAAAATACTGTGGCACAGTGCCAAAGAACCAGGGGTTGGGCCAAACAGGCAGCAGCTTCTCATCCCCAACAAATTGAGGATACAGGACCTTACAAAACCCAAAAATCAGTAATACCTGGAAGATACCTCAGAGAAGTAGTCATTTCCCAAGAGTTCTAAATACTAGCAATAAAGCAACCCACCACAGGCAATTTACAAGCATTATCCCAGGAATTAAACAAACAAAAAAAGAAAATAGGAAGACACTTAAACAAGATGCAATCTCAGACATCCAGTTCACCAAAGGCAGAACCAGGGGGCAATGAGGTGGGACAATCCGAGAGTCACCTACCTGGCCTCTCTGAAGTGGTAACAACAGAGCAATTGAATGAGGCTCTAGAAAAAATCAAATCAGAAATAATTTCTTAAATAACTTCAGAGATGGTGTCCACAATGAAAACCACACTTAGTGACTCTAGAGCAGACACAGATTAAAAAAAAAAAAGAGGAGCTTAAGAAAATTATGGAGCCAGGCATGGTGGTGCATGCTTGTAATCCTGTAACCCCAGCATTCGGAAAGCTGAGGCAGGAGGATCATTGCAAGTTCAAGACCAGCCTGAGCTACAAAGTGAGCTCAAGTCCAGCCTGAACTGCATAGTGAGACCCTGTC